GATGCCCAGACAAGATTCAGAATGTGACCTATTTCTGCCTAGAAAAACACCCAAGTTGGATTAAGTAAAGCAGTGTAGGCTAATAATAATAATTATAGCTCTCACCTAAAAAAGATTTTATAGTTCAAAAAGTGTTTTCCTCAACAGCCTTGTGAGGCAGACAGTAGATAGAATTTTATTACCATTTTAGAAAGGAGGAAACTGAGCCTCAGGGAGGTTATGTGATTCTAAATGTCTATGCTGGGACTCAAGTATTCTTACTCAAAGTCCAGCACTCTTTCCATTACATTTTGCTGAAAGAATATACTTAAGTTATACTTTACTACTGAGATTTCTTCAAATTTTAATTTGTATTCTCTCTCTTAATTTATACATTCCTTATACTGCTAAGTCAAATAATTTATGTGATTATTTGCAATAACTATTTTTATGGAAAAGGCAATCATTATGGAAGTGGGTATTTCATCTTATACTTATTCCCTCTGTTAACCAGCCCTAGAGACTGCACCTATTAGAATCATAGAATTTTAAAGATAGAAGGAACATTATAAAAACAATTCATATTTATATAATGTTTTAAGATTTGTAATATGCTTTCCCACAATGAAGTAGTACAGCGGATAGATCAATGGATTTGGAGTTCAAATGGACCTTGGTTCAAATTCTACCTCTTATTACCTGAACCATTTACTATTTACTGCCTGAGTCATTCACTCTCTATGCATCTCAGTTTCCTCATTTGTAAAATGAGAAAGTTGGACTGGATCAAGAGTTGTTAACTTTGTTTTGCCCTAAGACTCTTTTTTGGCAGTCTGGTGAAGCCTATGTTCTCCATTGAATGATGTTTTTAAATACATAAAGTACACAGTATTACCAAGAAAATTAATTATGTTGAAATAAAGATGTAGTTTTTCTCCATCTAAGTTCATAGATCATTACCCCCCACGCCCAGGTCCTTGGATCCCAGGTTAAGAACTCCCTGACTAAAGGTTCTCTGAGGTCTTTTCTAGCTGCGAACCTGTGCTTCTATGAATCCCATGAGAAAGGTAATAAAAATATTATTATTCTAATTTTCAAAGAATACTGAGACCCAGACAGATACCGAAGATCACAGTGCCAATAAGTTCAAAACCAGGACTCCTGACTCCCAGATTCTCTTTTCACTACACCTCACTAACCTGTCCATGGCTGAGGTCTAGTTATTTATGAGTAGAACGATGGCTACATTCTTATTTCCAGATGGCTAGCTGTAACATTATAGAGTTAATGTTTACATATTTTGTGGTTTATTTACACATAGTTTAAGACCAAGCAAACTACCCTATGACATTCAATAGGCTTCCAGCCATTCCTTCCCACCAACAGTTAGGGTTGATATAATACAAACTGATTTTAATATGAATCTTAAAATAGCAGGAGTAACAACCTCCCGGAAGGCAGTCAGTTGGTCAGTCAGCCAGTCAATAAAGATCTATCAAGTGCCTATTATGTGCCAGGCACTGCACTAACAACTGGGAACACAAATGGAGCTCTGGTAGAAATATCATGCAGATTGTGTGTGGGAAGATTACTGGTTAATTTCATTCATCTGGTTAATTTCATTTAATCTATATTATTCTCATTAACATTTTTTAAAATATTAATTTCAACACAGCAGATACAGGCAGGAAATCTGCTGGGGTGCTTCATCTAACTCCTGCTAATTTTTTATTCTAAGAGTAAATTATTCAAATTGACTATATAAGTGGACTACTCTTACTTTCAAAAATCTTTGAAAATACTTATTATACTATGTAAGATGTTCAAAAAACATTTGGCTGGTATAGAAAACTAAAATTATTTTGTGTACATACTGTCACACAAATATAACTTCTGCTATTTTGTGTAAAATTTGTTTTCAATTAGTTATGGTAGCATCTACTAGAGAAAGATGAATCATATAAAAGCTGTATATTCAGTTTCTATAATATCTAGAATTTGTATTTTCCTCATTAGTTAGGGAGATAGTTCTGCTACAGAAAAATTCCTCAAGCTTCAATAGCTTCTATTTCTTGCCAGTAAATGGTTCAAAGTAAAGTATTATCATCCGTTACTCAAAATAATTTCTATGGGTTTTCCTCTTAAATGACATTCCTTTCACTGTATTTAGGTAGGGGATGAGGAGTGGGAACTGATTGGAAAAGGATGATAGGTCCCTTTATCGTAAATATATTGAGACCCAAAGCACATTAAATCTATTCCAAAAGTCCCTTGATCTCCTCCTTCATGACCTTGCTCCATCAATAATCTCCTTTCCCCTTTTATCCCCAACCCCATGCATCTTTAATCCCTCTCTTATCTCTCATGTTAAAAATATGTCTAGGTATCCCCATCCTAAATAAACAAACCTTTCTTTATCCTGCTATCCACCCCCTCAAGCTAGTTCTCTCTCTCTCTTCTCCCCTTAATTGCCAAACTTTTACAATTTCTATACTTGTTTCTTAACTTCCACACCATTTGCCAGCCTCAACTACTAAAAACATGGCTCCCATTCCCTAACATTTCACTGAAAGCCTTACTTCTAGCTTCCCATCTAGCCATTCCCCACTGATGGATATCTACTTTGTTTCTAATTCTTTGCTAACGCAAATAGTGCTTCTATAAATATCATGGTGAAAGTGAAGACTTTCTTGCTATCATGGCTCTTTAGGATATAAACTTAGTAACAGAATCTCTGGATCAAAGTGTATCAAGATTTTAATCACTTTATTTGAAAAGTTCCTACTTGCTTTCCAATAAGGTTGTACCACTTCATAGCTCCATGAGCAATGCATCTCTAGTTCTATCTTCCTACAACCCCTCTAACACTGATTCTTGCCATCTTTCGTCATTTTGGCTGATTAGCAAGATGAAATCACAGAACTGTTTTGAATTCCTCTTATTATTACTGATTCAAAACATTTCTTCATGTGGTTGTGAATATTTTACAACTCTTTTGAGAATTGTTTGTTCATATCTTTTGACCATTTATCTATTGGGGAATGGTTATAGGTCTTACATATATATATATATAAGTTCATTGTTCATATAACTAAGATACCAAACCCTTATCAGAGAAATTTGACGCAAAGATATTTTCCCATTTGACCACTTCCCAATTTTGCCTAGGCAAAAACTTTTCAGTTTCACGTAATCAAAGTTATCTATTTTATCTTTTGTAATTACCTCTATTTCTTGTTAGTTAAGAATGCATCTCTTTTTTCCCCCACTGAAAGTATTTTATTTTTTCCAATTACATGTAAAAATAGCTTCAACATTCACTTTTATAAGATTTTGAGTTCCAAATTTTTTTTCCCTCCTTCCCCTCCCACCTCCCCAAGGTGGCACGCAATTTGATCTAGGCTAAACACGTACAATCATATTAAACATATGTCCACATTAGTCATGTTATGAAAGAAGAATCAAAACAAAAGGGAAAAAACCATGAGAAAGGAAAAAAAAGAGAGAAAATAGTACACTTCAATCTGCATTCACGCTCCACAATGAGTCTTTTGGAATTGTCTTGGATCACTGTTTTGCTGAGAAGAGCTAACTCTATCAAAGTTGGTCATCACACAATGTTGCTATTACTGTGTATATGTTCTCCTGGTTCTGCTCACTTCACTCAGCATCAGGTCATGTAAGTCTTTCCAAGTTTTTCTGAAATCTACCTGCTCATCACTTCTTATAGAACAATAGTATTAAGAATACATCTCTTCCCCATAAGCTGTGAGAGATACATGTTCTTTCTCTCTTCTATTTTTTTAACAGCATGAATTTATGAGTGGAGTTGATTGTTTGGTGTCAATTTTTGATCTACTGAAACTGGGATCAATTTGTGTCAGGCTAGGCTAAGTGCTGCCTTTCCTACTGGCCACAGATTTCCTCATGGTCATGCATCCATTTAGAATGTTTTGTGGAATATGGTGAAAGGTGCTGGTCTAATTGCTGCCAGACTACTTCCTAGTTTTCACAAGTTTTTGTTTTTGTTTTTTTTTAATCAAACAGGAGTTCTTTTCCTAAATAATTTATGTCTTCTGCTTCATCAAATACTGGGTTTGGGGGTCTGTTGTTTCTGATTCTCTTATAATATTTATTATTTATTAAAAAGGAGAGGGCAGAAAATCAAATCAATAAAATAGCAAATGAGCAAGGTGAAATCACAACAAAGCCAGGAGAAGTAAAAAGAATAATCAGAATCTGTTATATGTAGTTTATATACTAAAAAAATTGAGAACACAAAAGAAATAGAGGAATAACTTAAAAAATATAAATATCAGATTGACAGAACACTAAACAGGGGTCTTAAAATAACGCAGTCTCACAAAAGAAAATTGAACTGACTATAAAGAAAATACCAAAGCAAAAAAAATTCCTGGTCCTGAATCAATTGGGACCAAGGAAAGACTCTGCCTCTACTTTGCCCAATGTGTCCCTGCAAATCATTTTTTGTACTTTCTTAGATTACCAGAGCCTGAGTTAGAATAAGGGGTCTGATGTAAAGGACTATAAGCTTCAGTTGGTTCAACCCAATCAAGTCAGTTTAGTGTCCTCCAGACTAGCACTTTGAGGTAAGCCCAATGTCTCTACACACAGTCCCTGCTCCTCACTCCTGGGAGAAATAAGAAAGGAGAAAAAGAGGGAAAAGAAAAAGAAAAGAGATATATGCAACTAATTCACTGGGAAAAAATTAGATCAGACATGTCTTCTTACATAACACTGCCTCTCAATGTCCATGACTCCCTCCATTTTGTTATGGGTCTTAGTAAACTCCTCTCCTTCTTGAGATCTATAGAGCTTATCCAACACAAATGTCAAGGACTTCCTATACAACAAAAAACTGCTAGAGATCTGGGGAAAGTCCACATACTAAATAAATAAATAGATAAATAAAGGTTATAAGTTTTATTCATCTTTGAATCTTACTACACCCAAATTATTTTTAATCAGCTTAGTCAATAGTATATATTGTACAAACTTACCTTTTATTTTTCTTGTAATTTTCCAGTTGTTGTGTCTGTAGATGTTTGTATCTCTCTAATTCATATTGCCCACATAAGTCCTCCAAATGCAGTAAATGGTTTTCTACCTCTTCAAAATTAGCTTCTAACTGAACTGATAGAATAAAGAGGAGAAAAAGGAATAAAAAAATTATCAAAATGGCATGACCTGAACAAAGAAAACAATATTTTCTATAAATTCAACTTTTAAAATTATTCTTATTGCTTTGCACATTTATATTATTTCTCATCAAATTATTAGACTCAAATGCTAATATCACTGACTATCATAAAACATACTCCAAACTGTTTTTTCCAAATTATTATCCAACAAAGCCAAGGGATAGAGTGTTCTGACAGTTAAAGGTAATGTATAGGAAGTTACTGATACACTGATTATATTAAATTGTTAAATTACTTTGATTAAATTTATATTGTAAAATTAAATACAATAAAATATAGTTCACACAAATTATATTTAGTATAATTTAAGTTTTCTTTGATGACCTAAAAGCACATCAGAACCTTGCAGTACCTCAGAGACATTACGGTGTATACCAGTTGTCATTGAACCACAGATATGCCTCAACCCAGAGAATGTTAGAGGTCAATGAAAACTTAGAGACCACCTACACCTGAGAAGCCAGAGTGAGTCACTTAAATCATTCAGTCTAATCCACCTATTTTACACATAAGAAAAGAGTCATTCATAAGGGCTAAGTTCACAACTTTAGTTAATGGCAAAGGAAGGGCTGGAACTTAGTATGGGGAAGACCATTCATGATATTCATAATAACCTTGCCACTTTATTTTAAGAATGTACCATTGTTATCTGGATGATATAGGGCATTACAGAAAAAATGAGTGGAAAAAAGAAGGCTAGAAAAATCTGCTTTTGGCTTCAGAAATGCTATGAGGGCAACGTAACCATGGCAAAACGAATGCCCATTTAATTTATTGGTTCAATTAATATTGAAGAACAGACAGCTATTCCACAGGAGCCAAATCTCAGGCTAATCCTTGCAGGAAAATGTCATGTTCAAATTACAGTTGCTTAAAATCCAATAAAACAGTAAGTAGAAACCAAGAAAACCTTGTTAGTTAGAAAATAATTTCATTTTCTCTTTTGACATTCAGGTAATTAACCACTTCCAGAAAAGCTCTATCCTAAACCATTATTTAATTCATTTCAACAAATACTTAGTAAGCACCTACTGTTTACAAGGCACTATGGTAGGATCTGGGGCTCTAAAGATGAAAATGAAATAACTCCTCTCAAGGACCTTACATTCTTCTGGGGGATACAACACATACACAGTAATCTGAGAAAGGAAAGATTATTAAGAACTGTGGGGGTCAGGAGGTGGCAGGATTCTGAAAGGCAGAGCTGAAGGAGTTCAATTAATGCAAAAGTAGCTTAGGGTTCTTTCCAGATATGTGTCCATTATCTATTCTGGAGTGGGGAACCTTCTAAGTCCTTGGTGCGGCCTTTTGACTGAGATCAAGTTTTATAGAACAAATTGTTCTATTAAGGGGATTTGTTCTGTAAAACTTGGATTCAGTCAAAGGGCCACACTTGAGGACCTAAAGGGCCACATGTGGCCTTGAGGCCACACATTCCCCTCCCCTGAGGACATTTTCTTTCCTTTCTAAGTTCCTGTATGACAATCTTCTTTTCATCACATTTTAGATTCTCATCCAAGGGACTTCAACATACATGGTGGGGCTCCCTCAAATACCCTAACTTTCTAGTTCCTCAATTTACTCATTTCCCATGGCCTATTCCTCCACTCCATCTCAGCTATTCACAAAGTAGCCATGCTTTTGATCTTGCCACTACCCATAAGCATTCCACTTTCATGTTCATGAACTGTGATATTCCTTTACTATGTTATTTCAGCTTTCCCTCTGCCTTATGACTCCTAACCGTGCTCTTTATCCTTTACGTGACTTCCAATGCCTCTATCCCCCAGGACACCATCTCTTCATGGCTACATTCTCTTCCTTTCCCTCGCCTGATTCTTTGGTGTACCACCAGTTCCACATCACACTGTCCTGTGTCCACAAATTCCCGAGTCCTTTGCCCAATCACTGATCAGGCACTGCCTGATCCCATCCTTGGATTACTCCATTTGTATTCTTTTGCTCCCACATGTTGCTGAACGTAGCTGGAGAAAGTCACGGAACCCTGCTGACAAGGTATACTACACATGTACGTTATGTAGTCTCAGCTGGGCCCTTCAGTGCAATAAGGCAATCCTTTTATACCTCCCAAACCAATTTCTCATTCCATTTACCACAGTGGCTCTTCCTGACTTTGTAGTCCCTCCTCAAACCAACTAAAGATACTCCTCTACTCACCCTCTCATGAGGATTAGGACCTTGCCTCAAGACTTCACAAAAAAAAACTGAAGCCATTTGCCAAGACATCTTTCTTCTCCCCTATTTCTTATCTCACTTGAGGACCTAGAGGGTCACATGTGGCCTCCAGGCCGCAGGTTCCCCACCCATCTTCCCATCTTAAGAACTCATTTTTTCCAAGTTTTCTCTGACCAACCTCACTCCCCTCCCATTCATTGTGCCCTTGTTTTACCTTCCCTCGGTAACTGTGCACAGTTTGTGTTGCCTTGTCTTTGAGCTCCTAATATTTCCCAAGTCCATACACGTGTCTTGTCTCTCTAACTAAGATGGATGAGGTCAGGGAAAGCGCAATACTTAAGTTTCTTTTTCTCCCCCCCCCCGCCCCCGCCATGTGGAATGACTCAGAAATGCTTATTATAATTGATTTTTTGGGTGCTATTTTTTTTCCAGCAAGTGGATAACATTCGGCCACTGACTGTGTATTCACTGCCAACCCCAGCCTGAAACACCCTGACCCCTATCCTCTCTAACTAGACAAATCCTTTACATTACTGTACATTCCTTAAGACCCATTTCAAATGTTGCCCTGTCCTGATGGAAACAGAAGTTGTACCTCAGGCCCCTAGCTAGTCCCCTCAGTTTCTCTGAGGAAATGAGCACATAGCAGAAAACAAAAGGCCTGGGCAGAGGAAGGTATTGCCTCTTACTGCCTTCCCTAGTGGACACAGTGCAGCAAAAGATCAAAGGTTCCTACTCTCAGTCAGAGGAATTTGTCTCGCCCTTCCTGGGGCTTTGTGTGGGCAGAAGAATAAGTGGACAAGTATGGCTGAACTGCAGTGTGTGGAGGGGAGTAATGTATAAGAATCTTGGAAAGGTAGGAAAGGGACCAGGATATAAAGATGTTTAAATGCCTAAAAGAGGAGTTTATATTTGATCTTAGAGGTGATAAGGAACCACTGAAGTTTGAAAAGGTGGTTAGATAGGGTCAGACCTACACTTTAGGAAAATCCCTTTGACCACTGTGTAGAAGATGGAACAGAGTAGAAGGAGCAAATAGGTTACTATTTATAGTATTAGAATAGTAATTATATTACAATTATTATTATATTATAATTATATTATAATAGTCTAAGCCAGCAATGATGAGGGCTTCAACGAAGGTGGGAGTGGTGGCTATGGTGAGGAAGGAATAAGATACAGAAAAGAAACAACAAAAATTGGCAATTAATTGGCTATGTAGGTTTAGTAAAAGTAAGGAATCAAGGATAATACAATGGTTGAACATGACTATAATATGAAGAGATAAGGAATTTAAAGAAAAATATAGAAAACAGCTTTGACTAAACTGAATTTCACTTAGAGTATATTTGGTCATTTTACCAAACTCAAACATGGCTATTCTTAAATAATCTGGTAGCTGGTACTGTTGACACATAGAGAAGAAAAATACTCAGAATTTAAATTGTTATAACTGAGGACAAGAAATTCGGCTGTGCCTTGAAATATACAAAAGACAATGACAGGACTATTTGATGGGAATTGGAGTAGTAACATTTAGTTGTTGTTCAGTCATGTCCAACTCTTTGTGACCCCATCTGAGATATTCTTAGCAAAGATACTGGAGTGGATTGCCATTTCCTTCTCCAGCTCATTTTACAGATGAGGAACTGAGGCAAATGGAATTAAATGACTTGCCCAGGGTCATGTAGCTAGTAAGTGTCTGAGGCTGGATTTGAACTCAGGAAGATGAAGCTTCCTGCCCTCCCCAGTGCTCTATTCACTGCACCACTTAGCACTTAATACACAATTAATTCATTTAGAATTCAACAACTCTATTTTTTTCTTTTTTTTTTTTTACTTTATTTTTAACATATGTTTTTAAAACTTTGGGTTACAAATTTTCTCCCTTCCTCTCTCCCCACCCACCCTCATTAAAAAGGCAAGCATCTCGATACAGGTTATAGATGTGGAGTAATGCAAAACACTTCTATAGTAGTCCTGTTGTGAAAAACTAAGTACATTTCCCTTCATCCTATCCTAACCCCCATTTATTCTCTCTTTTGACCCTGTCCCTCCTCAGAAGTGTTTGCTTCTGATTATCCCCTCCCCCAATCTGCCCTCCCCTCTATCTACCCCCTGCTCTCTTGTCCCCTTCACCCCTTATTTTCCTATACAGTACGATAGATTTCCATACCCCACTGTGTATGTTATTCCCTCACTCATTCCCTCTCACCTTCCCCTATTTCCCCTCCACTGTAAAAGCCTTTTCTTCTGTTTCATGTGAGATATTTTACCCCATTCTACTTCTCTCTTTCTCCTTCTCCCAGTATAATCTTTTCTCACCCCTTAATTTTACTTTCCAGATATCACCCCTTCATCTTCAATTCACCCTGTGCCCTCTATCTATCTATCTATACATGCATATATTTTTTTCCCTCCCTCTACCCTAATACTGACAAAGGACTCATGAGTTACAAATATCATCTTTCCCTGCAGGAATGTAAACAGTTCAACTTTAATAAGTCTCTTATGATTTCTCTTTCCTGTTTACCTCCTCCATATTTCTCGTGAGCCTTGTATCTGAAGATCAAATTTTCTATTCAGCTCTGGTCTTTTCCACAGGAATGCTTGAAAGTCCCCTATTTCACTGAATGACTATTTTTTTACCCTGAAGGATTATACTCAGTTTTGCTGGGTAGGTGATTCTAGGTTATAGTCCTATCTCCTTTACCCTCCAGAATATCATACTCCATA